CCCGAAACATCAGCTTTCCTGCTCCTCTGATGCTGCTTGGCCTGCTGTGTTCATCCAGCTCTACACCTTGTTAACACAAAAACGGCGGTGTTTGCACAAAATGTCCCCACTCATGAAGCGAATGAGAACAAGAGGGCAGGACACAAATTTGAAGTGGTTTGTAAAAGTGATAGGAGGCAAAGCTTTTTCACACAATGTGTGCCTGGGGTTTGGAATTCTTTGCCTGTAGCCGGAAGGTTCAATCAAAGCACTCACAAGTAATTTGGACTTTTATTTGAGAAGGAACGACCTGTAGGGTTAGAGGGAGGAGGTAGGAGGATGGCACTTATTGAGTTGCCAATTTGGAGCGGTGGCATGGAAATGGTGGATCAAATAGTCTCCTTCTGCTTTGTAATAATTCTGTAACTGTATAGTTCTACGAACATTGATAATTTTGTCCCTTGGGGTGGTGTTAGAGGTCACAGAAAGGGTGGTGCTATGGAAGTTGCCCTGAGGAGTTGCAGCAGTTAGTTAAGCAGCTGGCCATCCCATCTCCATTAGAAAGTCGCACATTCACATTTATAATCCTTGCTCCTCTCTCATCTTGTAGTTTCCTGCAGCCCTCTGGGAGTGCTGCTTTCCTCCAATGCCACAGTTCCTCAAGTGTCATCTGTCTGTTATTGGCATAGAACATAGAACATTACAGCACAGTACAGGCCCTTCGGCCCTTGATGTTGCACCGACCTGTGAAACCAATCTGAAGCCCATCTAACCTAAACTATTCCATTATCATCCATATGTTTATCCAATGACCATTTAAGTGCCCTTAAAGTTGGCAAGTCTACTACTTTTGCAGGCAGGGCATTCCACGCCCTTACTACTCTCTGAGTAAAGAATCTGGGCCATAAGATCTGCGATTCCTCCCTAAACCTCTCGCCTTCTCTCTCTCTCCTCCTCTAACACGTTCTTTAAAAGACACACAGTTGTGGTGACGACCTAGTGCTAATGTCACTAGACTATTAATCCAGAGGTCTCAGTGATATTCTTGGGACACAGGTTCATAAACGCCCCTGGTGGCAGATGATAGAGTTTAAATTCAATAAAAATCTGGAATTATGATTCTAATTGTTTGAAACAACTTTGAAATTGTTGCTGATTATTGGGGGAAACTAATCTGATCTTTTAGGGAAGGAAATCTGCCATCCTTACCTTGTCTGGCCTACATGTGACTTTGGACGCACAGCAATGTGGTTGACTCTGAACTTCCCTCTAGACAATTCTCTGACAATAAATGCTGGCCCAGTCGATGACACCCAAATCCTGTAAATATTGACAGATAAGGTTTTGGTCATCTGCCTAAACATTACCGGATGTATCTCAGATACCAAGTCAGGTTTTTGCCTGTGACATTTTAGTGAATGAACTTCCAGAGGAAGTGGTGGATGCAGGTACAGTTACAATGCTTAAAAGACATTTGGTTGAGTACATGAATAGGAAAGGTTTGGAGGGATATGGGTCAAACATAGGCAAATGGCACTAGTTTAGTTTGGGAACATAGTTGGCATGGACTAGTTGGACTGAAGGGTCTGTTTCCATGCTGTATGACTCTATATAATTGCAACCTTAGAGTGTTGTGTTGCAATGGTAGTGCCCCACCTTTGGGCCGGAAGTTCAGGGTTCAAGTCCCATCTGCTCTGGAGAAGTCATAGCAAGCAAAGAACCTTAGTGTGTGTCACAAGCAGTAAGTAATTGGGACAGGATTTGCTTCTGAACTCTGAGCACGTTTGGAAGCCTTTCCAATGGAAAGTAACTATGTAAACCAGTCACGCTGTAATTACACCCTCCGAACTGTAAAGGCGCTACAGGCTCTTCACCCGGAGAGGGCTGGGTTATAAACTGTCAGGTTAACAGTAGGAGTTTCCATGATAAATGTGAAAAGGTGAATTTACAATGACAAAAAATGAGCATACAGACATGAGCTATTTAATTCGCTAGTTATGCAGGACCTTTGGAATTAAATAGAAATGGGGTCAGCTTGTTGGAATCCAAGTTAAAATGATGACATTGTATTGTACACAATATTTTAATCGATGATAGAAACTGGAGCTATTTAATTTTATAATTACTGCTCTGAGCTTCAGAATAAGAAGTGGATGATGACTCTGAGGCGAGCACACCATTCAGCGCAGAGGGAGGAGAGTCGGATCTGAGGGTGGTGAGGTCTCTCCCAGCCGCATAGCCAGCCAGCCAGCCCGCAGAAACTCTGGCTGCCGAATGCAGCTTTTACACATTGAGCGGGGGAGCCTGGGTGCTTTCTGTGAGCTTCATTTCCAGGCTGCCGTGTTTCCCTGTGAAGCTCAGGTCTCCCCTGAGCTGAAATGGAAGTGCCGGCTGCTGGAGAATTTCTCTCTCTCTCTCTCTCTGGCTTGTTATTTCTCTCTCCCTCTGTCCCCACCCCCAGTCAGCCTGTTCCTCTCCTTTATCTCATCTCTCACTCTCTCTCCCTTTCTCCTTGCCGTTTTTTAACTCCTGAATTTTCTTGTCTCTTTGGTGAGTAATTTTGCTGTCTGTGACGTTTTGAATTTTTTCTTTTAAAAAAAAAAGAAATTTTTTCTTCTTTTGATTATTTTTTTTGCAATTCCTTTTTAAAGAAAATGATATGTAGAGACGGGGTGGGGGGGGGGAATCAGTAAATGTGTGTTTATAAAAGAGTAGTTTCTGTTTTGTTCTTGTCAGACATCAGTGTAAATATGTATGTGTTTTGTGAAAATGAATTTAGGCTCATGAACTGCAATGTTAAAAGAAATTCTGCTGCCACACATCTGACTTTCTGTTCATCTGAACTGATGTCTCAGGATTTTTAAAAGCTGTCCTATTTTTATATTTTTCCTTTTTTCTCTAATGTATTTTTAATCAGTTGTACATTACCAACCCCAGCCTGCACCCCCCCACTTTGAAGGCTTAATTACATCCCCACCTCCTGTGCTAAATAATCTGTCACTTTGCAATTTGTTGGTTTAAAAAAATAGTTTTTTTTATTATTTAGGATCTTGTAGTTTTTATTCTTATTTTTAACCAACACCTGCCCCCCCCCACCAAGAAAAAGTTTGTCACTTCTTTCTTGGTTGGCTGTGTTTTGCCAGCCGAATTCTCTTTTTCTCTCTCTCTCTCTCTCTCTCTCTCTCTCTCGTTCTTTCTTTTTCCTAAATGGTTGCTGTTACTCTATAAAGGAGAGTGGGGTTTTGTGGAGAGGAAGAGAGAGAGAGACAGAGCAAGAGAGAGAGAAAGGTTTTTCATTGTAGCTGCCTGGTTTGATCTACCGCTTTATATTTTCAATATGCAGGAAATAAAACTGTCCAAAAACAAACTCCTGACTGATAATTAGCTAATTATTGCATTAAAAAAAACCTGAAGTGTACAGCTGTTAAAAGCTATAAGTGGGAACAGAATATTTGGGGTGGTGTTCAAACAACTGGACAATAAGATTGCATTTTTCCACAGAGAAAGCTTTCTAACATCATCCTCACTTCTGAAAACATGATTGTCTTGAAGACAAGAAATCTATTTCAAAATGTGAAAGGAACTTTCAAATGGGCACAGCTCCTGTGCAGGAAAAATATGTGGCAGTCTTTTTTTTAAAAGAATGTTTCTTGTTAAGAAGCACTTGACAGGCATTGTAAATGGTATTGAAGTGTGTCACTTGGTGCAAACATCAATGTGGAAAGGATAACCCCTTTCTCTCTTTCTCTCTCTCTCTCTCTCTCTCTCTCTCTCTGGAAGAAAGATAGCAGGTTTGACAGTGACAGGGCAAACATCTAGTAGAGCATTTCCCAACAGAATGGAGCCTCCCCTCCAGGTCAGAATATCGGAAAACTGTCCCTGACCTTAGTTTCTGAAGGTGTCCTGATTTCCGGTAATGAACCGATGAGTGATGGGGCTGTTTGCTGTTTGTTGCTACACAAGTTACCATGGCTGGGCCTGCTGGGTTGCTGTTGCTACAGGCAACCATACTTAGGGTTCCATTCGTACTGTACAGGCAGCTCCTGTGTAAAGCAGTCTAGTTTTGTGTGGACGCTACGACTGCGGCCCAAATTTGAATCTGAGTTACCCACCCACTGTCTCAAACCCATGGTGGGGGTCCTAACCCAACACTAGAACTGACTGATGGACACCTCTCTGAGTAGCTCAGCTATAAGATCATGAGGCCATTTGACATGGGAACAGAAGTAGGCCATTCAGCCTGATTCTCCCATTCAATGAGATCACGGCTGATCTGATCATCCTCAACTCCACTTTGCTGGTTTACCCCATAACCCTTGATTCCCTTACAGGTTTAAAAAAAAATCTGTCTGTCTGAGCCTTGGATATCCTCAATGACCCAGCCTCTACAGCCCTCTGTGGTAAAGAATTCCCCTGATTCACTTTTTTTTTTCTGTGAGAAGAAATTCTTTCTCATCTCTGTCATAAATGGGCAACCCCTCATTCTGAGATCATGCCCTCTGATCCTAGACTCTCCCATAAGGTGAAAATCCTCTTCGTATTTATTCTGTCGGGTCCCTAAGAACCTTTGTGTTTCAATAAGGTAGCTTTTCATTCATCTAAACTCCAATGAGTACAGGCCCAACCTATTTAACTTGTCCTCATAAGACAGTCCCTCTATGCCTGGGATCAGCTGCCTCCAAGGCCAACACATCTTTCTGCAGATCAGGGGCCCAAAACTGTTCATAGTATTTCAGCTGTTGCCTGACTTGTGCCTTGTTTACTTTCAACAAAACCTCCCTGCTTTTATATATTCTATTCCATTTTGAAATAAGGGCCAACATTCCATTTGCCTTCCCTATTACCTGCTGAATTTGGATGCTTGCTTTTTTTTTAATTCATTCATGGGATGAGGGCATCGCTGACCGGGCAGCATTGTCCATCCCTAATTTCCCAGAGGGCAGTTGGGTGTCAACCACATTGCTGTGAGTCTGGAGTCACATGTAGGCCAGACCAGGTAAGGATGGCGGTTTCCTTCCCTAAAGGACATTAGTGAACCAGATGGGTTTTTCCGACAATTGACAATGGATTCATGGTCATCACTAGATTCTTAATTCCAGATATTTTATTGAATTCAAATTCCACCATCTGCCATTGTGGGATTCGAACTTGTGTCCCCAGAACATTATCTGGATTAACAATCCAGCGATAATACCACTAGGCCATTGCCTCCCCTTGCTTTTTATGATTAATGCCCTGGAATGTTTTGAATTGGGATCTTGATGCGCTTGACAGTTTGAGTCAACTGGAAGCAAATTCCATTTGGAGTCTGCCCCAGGATTGTGGGGTGGACGTGTTTCCATAGTTACTGTGACCTAGAGATAAATTAAGACTGTTCCTCAGGTAGGGTTGCCAATTCTTCAAACTTAAATGTATAGTCTCCTGGAGCACGATTGTGAGCACCCAGCGGGAGAAATAAACATCGGGACAGATTATTAGTCGATCAGTTCTAGTGGTAGTTAGCATATGTCAAAGGTGGTTCTGTCAGGATGCCAGTGTTGGAAGTGTAGCAATGGAAATTTTGGAGACAGGAAGTCAAGTGATTAAAGCCTCCAGCAATTTGCTCAGCCAGAGTCGGTGATACTGGTTGCAGCTAAAGCAGAAATTAGTTTCAGGAGGTAGATAGATTCATACAGCACAGAAACAGACCTTTCGGTCCAACTCGTCCATGGTGTCCTGAACTGAACTAGCCCCCTTTGCCTGCATTTGGCCCCTATCCCCTCTAAATCACGTCCGTGCCCATAGAATCCCCACACTGTGGAAACGGGCCATTCGGCCCAACAAGTTCACACAGACCTTCTGAAGACCATCCTACTCAGACCCAACCCCCTGTCCTATCCCTGCATTTCCCATAGCTAAGGGGCCTAACCTACACATCCCTGAACACTGTGGGTAATTTAGCATAGCCAATCCACCTAACTTGCGCATCTTTGGACAGTGGGAGGAAACCCACGCAGACGCACGGAGAATGTGCAAACTCTACACGGACAGACAGTCGCCCAAGGATGGAATCAAACCTGGGTCCCTGGTGCTGTGACGCAGCAGTGGCTAACCACTGAGCCACCTTCCCGCCTGCTGTCCCAATGTCTTTTTAAAAAGATGAATGGAAATGGGTAAAAGGGGAGTGAGAACAAGGCAACTGCCCTGTATTTTAGGGGATTGTTCCTTATTTTGACTCTTTGGCCCATGTCACTTCAGGGACCTTTTTGGCCCATATCAAACTGACCTGGGGGCGTCACAGCTTAGAGAATGAATGTGATTGCAAATCCGTGAGTTGGCCAGTAAAGAGGGAACTTCACTTGGTACGTTATAAGTATTGGTTGCATAAACCATCCTCAACTAGAGCCCTGCTCTTATAGTCGCCAGAGTACTGCTAACCCAACCCCACCTCCCCAGCATATTCCTCCCTCCATGGTGCTTAACAACAACATCCACCCAACTCAATTATTTGCTAGCACCTTCCCAACCCTGCTCCTCCCCAACCTCCCAATCCGATTGTCAAAATATTCTCTTCTTCCATAAATGTTGGTCACTGGGCAGATGAGATCAGAGACTGTGCACAGGGCGTAAAGGCCAACATGGATTGGTTAGGCCAAAAACCAGGATCTGGATAGTAACCTTTTAGCCAGACAGGAGAACATCAGAGAGAGCTGGAGTTATAAACTCTGTTAATGAGGGCTTTTGCATAAGAGTAGTTTAATTTACCAAAGCGAACCGCATCCCAAGTCTCTTATAGTTAGGGCACCAAGAATTTATGGCCAGTGGCCTGACCAAAGTCTTCAAGGTATTATCAGGAAAAAGGTCAGAAGAAATCACACAACACCAGGTTATAGTCCAACAGGTTTATTTGAAATCACAAGCTTTCTATGCGCTGCCCCCTGTTGGACTATAACCTGGTGTTGTGTGACTTCTTCGTGTGGCTACTGGGAAAAGACAGGGTAGATAAAGATAAATTATTTCCACTGGTTGGGGATTCCAGAACTGGGGGCAGAGTCTCAAAATTAGAGCTGGAGCATTCCAGACAGATGTTAGGAAGCACTGCTATTCACAAAGGGTGGTAGATGTTTGGAAGTGTCTTCCACAAGCAGTAGTGAATTTTAGATCAGTCATTACTTTTAAATCAGAGATAGAAAATGTTTTTTTAAGCAACAGTATTAAGGCCAAAGGTAAGTATATGGAATTAGGCCACATACGATCAGCCATGATCTTAATGAATGGCACAGAACAGGCTGGAGGGGCTGAATGGCCTACTCCTGTTCTGCTGAAGCTTGAAAGGAGCGGGCAAGAGGATAAGGAGAATGGAAGGTTGGTTAGAAAGGACGATCACCTCCCTGTCCTGTTATCACATTAAAGGAAGCAGCTGAGGAACAGAAATCCCCACTCCGACAGGTTCGGATCACTCACTAGGGAGCCAGAGGGGGAGGGAGGTACTGAGTAGTGAGCAGGAGGTTGGGAGAGAGGGGAAAAATTGCCTGTTTGTAACTCCCTCGTCCCAAGACCAAGATTGATGC